CATCTGGACCCATAAATCTTCTGGTGTTTGCCCATCAAGCACTCGTCCGTCCTCTGAAAACGGTGGAAGATGACCCATGTGACTTATTTCCATGGCTTGTTTTGTTCGCTGCGCCATTATGCTCACAAAGAAGCTTTTCTTTTCAGTTTAATAAGTGGTTTATGTATCCCAGCGCTCCCCTAGTAAACGTCCCTGCATTCTTCTTTCATTTGTGTTTTATGAAGTGGAAGTTGTAGGAATCCACGAGACATCTGAGCTAAGTTTGGTTTACCAAGCTGATATTTTTTACTGCATGGTTTTATATGACTGCTGCACATGTCAACATAGGCACAACTTTATGATCACTAATGGTTTAGGGGTCTGAATATAGTCTGCGTCTTTTGTTATAGATGAAGCTGTTTTTATAGAAGCCATAACCGCAAATGAAGTCAGATCACGACTCTTAATCATTGTTGACAGGCGCTTGGACAAACACGTAGCAATTAGATTTGTGTTCCTGTCATGCTGTGATTAAGCAAACTGTACATGGTGCTGTTTTGGCTTGCAGATAAAAATGCATTCTTCCAGCGTTTTCTACATTTCATTTTTTAAACATAAAAAACATTATGGTGATTAGGTTGGTTTGCTGTTTTTGGTCTTTTGTTGCAAATACTTTTTTCTTTGTATTCAAGCTGCCTCTCATGACATTCTATGCTTTTTTTTAAAGCTGCATTCTGCAAATTTTCCACTTTCAGGAATTAAGCATGATTTTTGGATATCTGCAGAGGTGATAGTATTACACCCAGTCATTAGAATTGAGCACCGCACAGCTTTAGCCAACAGATGGCAAACACAGAGCATTTGAGAATGTACCTAGACTGATCCATAAAGAGCATAAAAGTTAAAGTCCCATTATTCATCACACACTGGTAAAATTCATTTGAATTCAATTCAAGTTTATTTATGTAGCGCCAAATCATGACAAGTTGTCTCAAGGCACTTCACACAGTAAACATTCCAATACAGGTCAGTTCATTAAGCCAATCAGTAAAATGTTTCCTATATAAGGAATCCGGCAAATTGCAACGAGTCACTGACTAGTGTCAGTGTCTTTACAGCAATCCTCATACTAAGCAAGCATGTAGCGACAGTGGAGAGAAACTCCCTTTTAACAGGAAGAAACCTACCCTGGCCTGCCAGACTCGTCCTCTGTGTAATTCTGCACAGAGAAAGAGTCTGGTTACTCACAGGCAGAGAGGCACATGAGGGGCGGGACTAGCCAGCTCAAAAATAACCAATCAGAAAAAAGACGGAAATGCCCACTGTACTGCGCGATGCTGTCGTTTTATAGCTGTAGTAAAAAAAAAAGGCGCCTGGCAACGGCGCGAACATCTTTTATTTATTTTTTTAAGAAGAAAGGCTTTTAGCGCTTCTACTTGTTGTGGTTTTAAAGACGTTCAAGTCATTTAGAACAGAGGAAAGAGCTGCAGCAAACTCCACCATTGTCTTTGTTGTTTATGAGAAACTGAGCGTGGCTTTATGTGACATCTGCAACGCTGTCGTTTTTTAGCTGTAGTCAAAAATGGCGCCTGGCGACAGCGCAAACATCTGGTCTTTTGGCGCTTCTACTTGTTGTTTTAAAGACGTGTCCAAGTCATTTAGAACAGAGGAAAGAGCCGCAGCGAGCTCCGCTTCAGTCGCCATGTTTATGACAAACTCGGCGTTGTGGTGTGTGACGTACGCTACTCAGCGCTGATTGGCTCAGTTAGAATTCTCAAGGGGCGGGGTTATTTGAATAGGAGAGTTCCCAGACCCTCTCTCTGTGCAGAATTAAACAGAAGAGGAGTCTGGCAAGCCAGGCCAAAAGAAACCCCCAGAGGATCCGGTCTCAGTATAAGCAACCATTCTCCATGATTCACTGGGGATTAAGACAGAGCACACACACACACACACACACACACACACACACACACACACACACACACACACACACACACACACACACACACACACAACATACCGAGTAATGTTTCTTTTGCTACATTGTGATTTCTTAGTAAATACTGTATTTAGTAAGAGATAAATGTTATTGTCTTTATCTTAGTGGATCTATAATTAATTCAACGGGTAAACTAGTAGTAGCACAATCCATGTCAAGGAAAGTAAAGTGTTATTATCAGGAGAGGGAGAATGTTTAAGTGGTTAGCAGCAGTGTTCAAGCCGATGGCCCCCTCCATGAGGCCACCACAGCTCAGCACATCATCATTGTGGCTTCTTCTGGGGAGAAAAACACTTAGAGAAAAAATAAAGTTAACAGCTGAAATAGCAGAAAATAATGCAGTTAAAGAGCAAATTGTAGAAGAAAGTGGTCAGTGTAACCTCCAGCAGTCTAAGCCTATAGCAGCATAACTACAGAGATAACTCTGGATAACCTAGCCTTTTTAGATGGAGGCATGTTGGAGGCAGGGCAAGGGAGAGCCGTCTTTACCGACTGTACACTCCACCTCCCTCTACCCCCCCCACTTGTCCAGATCTGGGATAACATCAGATTTTAACCATAGACCCTATCAACTAAAAATTTTTTAAGCCTATAGTCTTAAAAGTAGAAAAGGTGTCTGCCTCATGGACTAAAGCTGGGAGCTTCCCATCCTATGTTGACCCATCCACATGGGGAGTGGTGAGCTGCAGCTGTGGCTGCAATCGGGAACTATTTGGTGGTTTGAGGTGAGAGTAATAATTGTAAAACAATGTGTTATAGCTCTGTTGACCAGCTAGAAGTGCATGTTGACCAACAATAGGCGTTTATTCCAGAAGTAGCCAGTGGCGGCTGGTGAATTTGTTTTGGGGTGGGACGCAGTTATGCCGTCAGCTAGATGGTAGATACTCTAACCACATATCACCACTTGGAAACGCCAATTTACCATTCTTATGATAGAATCCACATGTTCTACCTCAACACTGACACAAAATAAAAGGGCTGAAAAAAGCTTAGTAGCAACAATGCAACATGATCCCCCACAACTTGTTTAAATTAAAGCCCAGACATTCATCTTTACAACAATCCAGCATGCATGCGCCAGCGTAGGTCTATGGTAGGCCCAATCCCAATACTCGCACTGCGCCCTGCGGTCTCCAGCAAAGTGCACTTGGAGGAAGTGTGCAGTAAGTCTTTGAGTGCGTGGTACACAGGTGTGCAAATAATTGCCGAATTGAGACGGGGAGCATTGCGTCATCGACCGCAAGGCATGCTGGAATTGTGGTTGCTGTAATACCTTTTAAAAAACCTTTATCAACAACTTTCAAACAACCAGACAATTTTTTGAAATAAACTTACATCCATTGCTGCTTTGTCTAAATTATTCAGAGCATTAGTTAATCGTCCTAAAATGAACTACTTTCATTTGAAAATACACATTTTCAGAAAAGGCTCTTGAGCCTGTTCTCCCACTTGAATGGATTGTGGGTAATACCCTTCGTCTAAGTCTGCATCGCTGCGGACTTGGGTGAAGTCCGTATCAACGGTTCAAAAGGGGCGTGATCAGCTTCTGCACTTGAGAATCGGGACACCCTACACACTTGCACTCCTGGTGGGGATTGCGCAACTGATGGGCAGGAACTGTGGAAGTGCGAGTATTGGGATTAGGCCGTAGTGACATACATTTCCTCGGTATCCGGTGGGTTGCTGGTTCAAACTCAGGCCCTGTCTTTGTCAGTCATGTCTTTGGGCATCACTCTTCATCCTCCTTGCCTGCTGGGGGTGGTTGGAGGGACCTGCGGCAGCCTTGCCTCCGTCAGTGCACGTGTGGCTTCATTGACTTTAATATAAAGTACTTTGAAGTCCTCTGACTTCAAAAGACCCCATACAAATGCTAATATTTTACCATTTTTCCATTAAAGAGCATTTTTAGTTGTTTAGTTTCTTCTTGTGGTAATGCTGTCGTGGGTTAAACACCTTCCCATGACATGACAAATGCAGGAAAAGTAAACATCTGTCAGGTAAAACAAAGCCCATTGAAGACGGACTTCCACTGACTAAATTTGGACGTTACAGCGTGAAATGTACAATTCAGCAGAACAGACCTTTTACAGCATTACTGCATACTGTACTGCAATATCAACCCAAATTTTTACTAGACCCCGATCCCAACCTTCTGGATATCATTCAACAACAACTTTATTCAATAACTAATAAAAACTACTCCTGTTTCCATGCGGTGGAACTTTACAGCTCAGAAGGAAATAAGTCATTTAGATATTTTTTATTTATCTTTTTTTATGTTAGAAACTTTAAAAAAAAATAAAAACAACAACATGGAAGCTCTTTGCTGCCACCCCACCAAAGTATAATTGTGGGGTGAATACAAGGGTTGCCAACCACCAGGAGAATTGTTCTGGGGGTCATTTGGTACGGTTTTAAGTTTACGTTGGTCGTTGGTTTGGGAGGGGAACAAATCCAATAAAGATTTATGTGGCAATGTTGTGAAAAATCGTTTTCACTCTGCTTCAAAATGAATCACTCCCTATAGCAAAAACTATCCAAATCACTGAACGTTTTCTGCTTCTATGTTCAAATAAAACGTTTTTCATTCCTGAAATGTGTATTTATTTACGTTTTGCTCTAAAATAAAAATATATAAATTTCATTTATGAAAAAGACAGTTGCTTTAAATGTTTGTCTGATCCTCTTCTGTGAGCAAAAGTCTTCCACGCGTTCAGATCCGACCGAGCTTGGGCAAAAATGTTCAAGATTTTCTAAGAAATAAACAAAACCGCTTTCGACCTTGTGACCTTTTCAGCTTCAGCCTAAACGACCAGAAATAAAGTGTTAAAATCAAATTCCTACAATAAACCAGACCAAATGAAACTTGTCGTTTCAGAATAACTAATCTGATTAAATAAAAACAAGTCTGATGCGTAAAGGACGCTCCACCAACTCTAACTGGCATGAACTGAATGTATTTTGACGTCAGACGCACGAGGCGCGTGAGGTGCGTGTTGTCTGTCATCCTGGGATCTTCGGAGCCGAGTGGTGTGCGGTCCAGCTCGCTCCGCCTTTACGCACCTTCTGGCCGCCCCGCTCGTTACCGTGCGCCACCCTGCGCGCACACAGCGCGCTCCGGATCAGTGCGCAGCCGATGTCCGCGCTGGAAACACGCGCTGTAACGTTTCTCCTCCACTCTCGGATTCTACGATCGTCTCTCAGCGTTTAACGCGTCGGCGGAAAGGGGCACAGCTCTTTTTTCTTCCTCTCTTTTGGGTTTTGTGGATTTGAAGGATGGATGTATGAAAATGTTTTAAGAAGCGCACCGGGAAAAGTGGCTTCTCCGTCCTCCGGGACATTTAAGGACGCTCGCTGTTTCTGTGCGTCTGGATTACGTCTGATTCCCACAACATTTGGCGCATTGTTATGAAATATTTCCCGTCTGGATCAGATCGAGTTTGTAAGCGGATCCAGCTCGGTGAATCCACCGACTCCGAGAACTCTCTCCACGGTGCCTCCGCCTCTCTGCTGACCCCCTCTGACCCACTTCGGCAGGCGAAGCGGCTTCCGATCCGAGTCGTCAAAATGTTGACGGCGCACACTGGCCACTTGCTCCATCCAGAATATTTACAGCCTCTAACGTCCGCACCAGTCAGCATTGAGGTATTTATGGACTTTCAGACTTTTATTACCTACAGCGACTTGTTTGGACTGATGTTGGATCAGCCGCGCGACAGAGGCGGTGGGAAATGACGATCCTGCTCAGCTTTAGTTTAGAGTCAGATACACTGCCTTTGCTTCATTGTGTTATAACAGGTACCTGTGTTAAAATAAATATGGCTCAAAGTCAAAAATTGCTCCACAATTTGACAAAATTAGTATTTGATAAGATAATTAGCTCTCACCTTTTTCTTAAAGTTGTATTAATCTAAAGGACAAATTCAGTTTTTGTGCAAACAAGAGTCCGAACTTCTCCGACTCCTCTGCTTTGAACTAAAACCTGAAGGGCAGATGGAATCTCCACAAGGAAGCTGGTTTTTCTGTTTAGATTAGATTATTTTTAAAGCTTAAAGACCCCTGTTTTTGGGTTAGGGTCTGTTTTAGGCTTTTGAGAAGTTCTCCTCTCCTCCGCTGAACAGATTAGCAAACATCTCTAGAGGATAGGAGTTTCCTTCTCTTTATTTTTGATTTTGGTGAATTGCACAACCATGTTTTGCACAAAACCACATAACTCAGGTTAATGTTCTTCATTTTTTGCAGCTGGATGCTAAGAAGAGTCCGCTGGCCCTGTTGGCTCAGACCTGCTCTCAGATCGGAAAGCCGGACCCTCCGTCTTCCTCCAAGCTTGGCTCATCCTGCAGCCATGGGGACAAGGAGCCCAGCAGCCGGTCGACCACTTCCAGCCTAAAGCTGGGGGAGCACCGCCCCTCCACGGAGGATAAATCCAGCTTCAAGCCCTACAACAAAGGCAGCGGAGACTGTCGCAGGGACGGAGTCACCAGCAGCAGCTCCAGCAGTGAGAAAGTTGGATTCAGGGTACCCAGCAGCAATGCCGTTAATGCTAATGGGACTTCAAACAGCGGTCAGCAGCCCTACGCGCCCCACGTGGCTTCACCCAGCTCCAGAGGCAACAGCACGCCCCCAGGACATGCCCAGCAGCAGCATCACAAACAGAACCAGTCTCCAGGTGGACCACCCACCTCCTCACAGTCCCAGACACCAACTGGTGAGCCTGTGAATGAGCAGGGCAGTCCCCCCAGCACAACCAGTCCCAATAATAATAATAACAACCCAAAAAAAGACGACTTGAACAAGGCCAGCTCAGAAAGTCCGCACCATGCCAACTCCAGCCACGTTCGGGCCAGCACAAACTGCAGCAACAGCAGCTCGGACAGCGGCTCCAACCCTGATGGAGGCAAACCCGAGGCCACCCCGCCCAACCTCGGCCCTGGACACATTACGCCCATTTCTCCCTATAAGACCAGCCAGCCACTCTTCCCCCTGCCCTCCTCTAACATGGGCTACCACGGCTCCGTCATGGGGGGCTACGCAGGATACCCATCGCAGTTTGTTCCCGGGTTGGACCCGTCCAAGTCGAGCCTCAGCATGAGCGGCATGGGAGGAAAACACCCCAGCTCCAGCCCTCTCACGGGTGCCTCCCCCCCGTCCTTCATGCAGGGTTTATGCAGGGACCCGTACTGCCTCAGCTACCCGGGGGTTTCCCATCTCGGTGGAAGCAACTGCAACTCCTGCATCCACGACCCGTCCCCAGCCCTCAAGTCCAGCTTCCCACTGGTGTATCCCTCCCACCCGCTCCACTCCCTGTCGTCCAGTGTGTCTCCGTCCCTCTCTCACCCACTTTACACCTACGGCTTCATGATTCCCAATGACCCTCTTCCTCACGCCTGCAACTGGGTGTCTGCTGCAGGGCCGTGCGACAAGCGTTTCACCACCTCGGACGAACTCCTGGCTCACCTTCGCACCCACACGGCTCTTCCGGTGGGGATGGACAGTAAGCTAATCTCCGTTTCCTCATCTGGACCTGCTTCCTGCCACCTCCATCTCCCCCACCAGAGCAGCCCAGGCTCCATGCCCAGCTCTCTGTCTCTCAGGGCTCCCCCCAGCCTGGGTTTAGCTCGCTATCACCCCTACAGTAAGGTCCATCTCCCTTCCGGACCGTCCCCCATCTCCCTGCACTCTCTGTCCACCACAGGTCCGTACTACCCTCCATACGCCCTCTACAGCCAGAGACTCGGATCTTCTATTGGATACCAGTAGAACTCCATGTGCACAAGGATGGTTTGACATCTTTGGGAATTATTCACGTTTGTTTTGGAAAACTGTAAGCCTGAACCTGAATCTGCAGCCACTTAGCGCCGCCTGACTCTACCAAACTCATCTACCAGCATCTAAAGTTTGTTTCAAATAAAAACAAATGGAACTTAGTTTGTGGTTTTCATTTGGAGATGCATTTCTGTTCGACCAGCTTCGCCTCTAGCTCAGAAACAACCAGCTCATCGCCTCTTTTTCTTCTCTTGAGCGGATGTTTTTTTGTACTCGGCTCTTAACTGGCTGCAGGCTCGCGTTTGTTTAACGTAAAAAGTCTAACTGACAGAAATGATTTACTACGACTTGAAGTTTATCCGTGGCAACTTCCTTTGACTTCAGACACAACGTGAGCGGAGCTGAGCGGAATCGACCAATTTTGCTTTCACTTTTAGGTCTAAGATTTCTGATCAGGTCTTGCTCCTGAGTTCAGACGAAGTGTGGATCTTTTGCACACAGCCTGACTCTGAGCTGATCTGCTGACCTTTGCCCTTCTGTAAATGGATGCTTGGATCTGATGGTTGAAGCCTCCTCGATACTGAAGGCTGTTGTGAGTGACGGCGCCCCCTGACGCATGTGAGCTCCAAACAGCAAACACACTTTACAGCCCCGTTACTTTGGATGACACGTTGTGGTTCTCCTCTGCTTTTGCTCCACAGAGGAGGTGCGTTTATTCACGGGGATGTATGGCTTTAATTCTTACCGTATATCTTCCTGTTTTGGTCCTGGGAGCTAGAAAACAGGTGTTGAAATGTGTCTTACAGCTTCTTCTTGGATGAATGTTTGAAACACATCTCTGTCTCTCAGCGTTTTGGATTGTTGTCCTTGTCGCAGCAGCTGACAGAAACTTGAGATGTGATATTTTTTTGTAATACTGGAACACCCTGTGGTGGGAGCCGCTGAAATGGGGAGGTCATATTTTGGTAAATAAATCACACTGAAGATGTGGATTCTGTTGTCTTCTTTTCAAACTATGAAGTTTAAATAGATATTTTAGCCCTTTTGAAGTGTGTTTATGTGTAAAAGTTGTAACTACAGCCTATTGTAATGTAATGTAGAGTCTTTTTCCCATCAGGCCCGATGAGCTACCAGCCCATTACAATACAGCCAAGACCAAATGGTGAAGCTATTGTCTTAAATATCCTAAATTGCATGTTGATTTTTTTTTTTAGAAAACTTTGCATCACCTTAAGTTTCACATTACATTTAGATTTATCAGAAATATCATAAAATTCCTGCTGATTTTGACCCCCAGATGCTTTGGAAGCACCATGAAACCACAAGACTGATAAGCCATTGGCTAGTCCAAACCAAAGAGGATGCTATACATTCATAAAATGAAGTTGCACGAACTGCAATGAAAGGTTGGATCTGTTTTAAGAGGGCAGTGGCAGTCAGACTTGCCATTAGCTCATCAGTTCAGGACGAGCAGGACTGTTCAGTATTTCTGTAGAATGTGAAATAAAAGGCCTGACATTTGGCATATTAAGTGCACTTTGGTCTTTGTTGCAGTCAGACTAGCTATTAGCTTGTTAGTCTGGTTATTTCAGGGTGCATCCAGGGAGCAAATCCAGCATTGGTATTTCTGCTGAAATAGGTGTCTAATGAGATTGGTATGAAATCTAGGAGACCTGGAGGGTTTAAGAAGATGCCCTTTGGTCTCGGTTGCAGTCATACTAGCCCTTAACTTGTCCGTTTGGTTATTTCAGGGAGATTCCAGGGCATCCAGGGGGCAAATCCAGAAGAAATACTTAAACTTTAACCCTCTGGAGGCAGGCGCTGCAGATTTGCGTCGTTAAAACCTACCTGCCTGGTTACTCCACATACGTATTTCATGAGCTTTTTTTAACTGAGAAGTACCCCTGAAGGACTTAGTTGTTTTTCCTTTAATCAAAACTTATTTTGAGCCTGAGAGAGTTAAATATTTCGGTTTTAAGATGCTGGCGGTTTGTCAGACCAGCTATGAGTCAGCTTAAAGGACAACAGCTCTCTTTCTTCCAACAGAAGCTGTTCGGGAAGCTCTTTGCAATCAGTGAAAGTCTTTTTTAAACAGAAAACCACATTTCAAAATGCAGAAATGTCCTTTAGAGTTTAAAACTGGCTTCTTTGACAGTGTTTGATTTAAAGATAAGCCAGGAAGCAATGTTTCTGTTCATCTGTCATCAGATTACAGAGATTAGAATGTTAATTACCTTGTTATGGAAGATTTTGTCATCATTCTCTCTCTGTCACACACACACACACACACACACACACACACACCGCTAGATCATGCTACAGATAACTGATCATGTCAGCGAAGTGTCCATCCTGAAACCTGCCACAGATATTTCCACCAGTTTAACCAGTTTAGGTTTTTTACCGTTTAAAGTTATGGAGGTGAGACGTGATGGGGAGATGTGAATCTATGTTGAACACACACTCATATAAAGAAAACATCCCCTGATTGCTGTCAGTGGTGAGTAGTGTCACCTTGAAGAGAAAGGATCCAGATAAATCCGTGTGACAGCCGGAGCCGTGAGAAGGAAACACACGTACTCCACCATCCAGAGAAGAATTGGAACGTTTCCCAGTAGGTGTTTAAGACTCAGCCCTGACAGTCGCTCCGGTTACCTCACCTGCCTTGTGATTGGCAGCAGTAATATAACATTTCCTAGCAACATGGCACTGCGACACCCTTGGTGAAGCTTAGATGACCTGCGATGGTCGCACACTCCTCTGACAAGGGAGCCACAGCGGTCACAACAGCCCGCCTGTGCTGTAAGGAGAAACCCTGCTTCTGTTTCTGAGGGCTGAGGCGCAGTTATGGGCTGTCTGGGTTCAGGTGAAGGGCAGGAGATGCAGAAGGTTTCATGTTGCAAAATATGATCTAGACCCAGACACTTAGTTTATTACTTCCAGAGAAGAGTCAGGTGCTGAAGCTACTCCCCTCTGTCACACCCAGAGAAATGAATGTGAGGTTATTCTCAGGTGGGTCTGCTCACCAGGTGTTTGCTGCTAGGGTTTGCTGAGCTGGATTGGGATGCCACCTATTGGTGACATCTGATGCCTGTGAGTTTCAGTCAGAGGAAAATAGTTTTTGATGTTAAAATGCACTGCGACTTAAAGTATGGAGGTCAGACCAAGTTAAAGGAGAAAGTGTAAGAGAATCTGTTAAAGTATATGACTGAAGTTAGTTTAAATTTCAGGTTCGGATCAACATCTGAACAAGAAAACAGTGAGTTTATTAAAAACATCTCGTAGTTTTTCTGTAAGGAGGCTGTAATTTATAGACATCAGTGAAAATCTTGTAATAAAAAATAAGATTAATTATGTGATTTAATATTTTTTGTCAGTTGGGAAAAAGCAGGATTTCACTAAAGAGTGTTCTCTGGACAATTCGATTTGGTTTCAACAATGAAGTTTGGAAGCCAAGAAGTGGCAAATGATGACTTAAAATAAAACTTAATAAACAAAACCTCTGAGCTATGTTGTGCATTTTTCATTTTGTTTATGTTTTTTTAAATGTTCATGATGAAAAAACATTTTTTTCTAAAATTATTTACTGAAAAAAATTTCCCAAAATATTCTGTTTAAAAATTACATTCATTAATATGTTATATGGTAGCCTAGCAGGGCAGAACCTTTACATAAATTAACAAACATTATATTAAATAAAGTCTAAGAGGGAATACCGCTCCTGTTTCAGGAAGTAGAAGTTAGCCAGAGGAGTGGGAGGCAGAAAACAGCAGGATTTGGAGTCACAATCAATAATATTTTCCTGATATTCGGACATCTCGCCTTGGATTGGCAAACAGCAACACAACTCTATTGACTTTGTTCACTTTACAACGTTGATGTTTCACCTCCACAAATAACACAAGCCTGGAGGAGCTCTGCTGTGTTGTGGATTTGCTTCTACTAGTGGAGACGTTCTTTGCTTTTTCCTGGAATCAGTAGGACCACATAAGCTAAAAAAACAAACGTTGTTGAACACGCCCCTCCAAATAAAATGATTAAAAGTAGAAATAACAGTAAGCGGTCTAAGTTGAGCTGAATGTGTTACAGATTATAACCAAGCTTTAATGTCCTAGCTCTCCTAAGGCTTTGTTTACCGTAACACACCTAATATCCTCTCAAACATGACTGACTAATAAAGACATTACCATACCATACCAAACAGTGTATTTCAACACAGCATGAGAGCTGACCAAAGCGCCTTACAGAAATGTCAAACAGAATGAAAACAGTTGAATGAAATAAGGTGAAATCAAGCAGTAAGAACAAGCATAAAGAAAGATCAGTGTCCAAAAGCCAAATCATAAAAATGCGTCTTCAATCTCGACCGTTGAAGACTGCCGAGTGGTGGTTGGAAGGGCATGCCAAAGGACAGGTGAAACACACACGAAAGCCCCCCCCCCCCCCCCCCCCCCGCTCGCTTTATGGTTCATTTTGGGGGTACACAGCAGCAAGTGGTCAGCTGACCTCAGAGAACGCACCGTCACGTAAGGGGTTGCGTGGCCATTCAGTGCCTTATAGACAAATAATAAAATCTTGAAACGCATCCTAAAAGTCATGGGCAGCCAGTGCAGACATGCTAACATCGGAGTAATAGGACAACATATTTGTGTTTGTTAAACATCAAGCAGCAGCATTCTGCACAGTCTGCAGTCGGTTCAACACTGAAACAGAATCACCGATGAGCAGCGAATTCACAACATCCTAGCAAGAGTCACACACTCCACATGGGAACGCTTCAGTGCTGGTTTGACACGTGTAAAGAGGCACAGTTGGAAAAAGTGTGATTGAACAACCATGTTAATTTGAGGTACCATTGAAAGTCCTGCATCCAGTTTCACTCCAAGGTTAGTGATGCATTTTTGAGTTCAATACATGTAAAACTAGGAACAGATGATCCATATAAAATGTCTTAATTCATAAAAAGAATTGACTCCATCGTTGCGTCATTGAGGCTCAGGAAATTTGCAGCTAACCAATCCTTTACGTCAGAGAGACAATTTACAACTCGGACGTCCACGTCTTGGCCAAGTAAGTCTGACAATCATCAGCATAGATGTGGTAACTGGTGCCGTGATGTGGAAAAATCTGTCTCAAGGGTAAAAGATAAATGGAAATAGGAGGGGCCCCAGGACTGAGCCCTGAAGCACCCCCCACATTCCCGGAATGAAAGGTGAGGCAAAACCCCCCAAGCTGCATGCTAAAAACCTATTCTCCAGGTATGACCAGAACCAGTCCAGCACAGAGCCCGAGAGACCAACTCACGACTCTAGGAGATCCAGCAATATTTTGTGGTCAACCGTGTCAACAGCAGCAGACAGGTCCAACAGCATTAAAAGTACATGTGACCCTGAATCAGACGCAACTAAAATATCATTAAGCACAAACATCAAAGCTGATTCTGTGCTACGGTGGGGCTTGAAAGCAGGTGGAAACACATCAAAGAGCGAGTACATCTCCATGTGAGCCATGTCAGCCATAATCTGTTAACGTACACTCTCCGCCATGAGAGGATACATTCTTTGTACAAGTTAAAGAAGAGCTAGCTAACTTATTATTTCTTTTATAGACAATAATTTCTCCTAACAATTTAAAACACGTCTGAGGCCTTTTTGGATTCTCTCCTTGGCTTTTTCTCCAGAGAAGACTTAAAGTCATCGTGATTTTCACCAACATTTTTCTCCCTCTGCATAAAACGTCCCGCTGAAACACAACCCAGCATTTGGAGTTTACTCGTGCACTTCCCATATTAGCCCTTCGTTCTAATCACAGCTGCAGAAGTAAAGATAAAAGCAAGCCTTCGTGCGTGGGAGGTGCTCTGTTGTTTATATAGAAGGTGTTCTGGTTCTGCTCCTCCTGCCCGGCTGGTCTGAGTGAGTCCTTGGGCAGCCTGACAGCCTTGATGATTAATGATGACAGACTGCCAAGCTGCTCCCTCATTTCACGACAAGTC